TTTTTTTTTGTCTTCTATCTTGATCTTCAACTTTATTTTTCTACGTCATTATAGACGATATATTGTACGGTACGATCGATGTTTATATAAAGGAAAGATCATAAAAAAAAAAAGATTGAATTAATGCAATATGAACTATCTGGAATAAAATAAGAAAAAATTAATTTGAAGAATACAATGTGGAAAATAAAGAGAATTAGAGTTGTTATAATAAAATTAATTTAGAAATAGTTGAATCACAATGAGTAACAATTGTTGGTTAGATTATGATACAAAATATAAGATGATAATACTGTATAGTTATTATTTGTTTTCTTCTAAATGCAATGCTAAAATATTTAATTTAAAGATTTATCTAAGTAATGGATGATCGGAAAGTTTTTAGGCAAGATGTTTATTCACTTTGAAGATATGCTAAATAGTAATTCTAGCGAGTGTCACAAGTTAGCAGTTTGTGCTCTTAGAAATGTTGTGTCTATTATTGTTCAAGACTTTTTGAAAGACCTAAGAAATTATTTTTAATGGTGAGCCAACAAATTTTTGTTTATAATATAAGACCTTTTTCGAATGTGGTAAAACTTATCGAAGTCTGGTGTTTTGTAGAGCGGACATACTTCTCTACAAAATGTAATTTTGAGCCAACGTGGACCTTTTACTCAAGTGATGTCAGAAACATTTACTCTAAGACGTCCTTTCAACGTAAAACAGTTATTGATTTTTTAAAAATGAGTATTTAAGAAAAACGAAAATTGAAGTATCTTGTCAAAAGATTAAAAACAAAAACTTCACGTAGTGTATTTTGTAGAATAGCTTCTGATCTAAAAGCTGATATATAAATAAAGATGCCAACTTTTACTTTAAACTACCAATAGTGAAAGTACAAAAATTTTCCGTCCGAACTAATTTTTTGAGCTTTTCAAAGATTATTTCACTACTCTCGAACAAAAACTAAAACAAAATAGTTAAGTTCATATTCGAAAAGAGCACAAACTCATAGCTTTTAACTCGTCGGAAATACTTTCTAGCAGGTTAAAAGTGAACAGATATCTTGTGTAAAAATTTTCCGATCAGTCGCTATAAAATGCAACTCTTCTAGAATAGAAGGTTCTAGACTTGTTTAAAATTATATTCCAGCATGTAAAACTCCTATTTTATTTTTATTATGAATTACTAGTGCTTTGCAGGTTTGAAAGAGTTTTCCGATGTAAAATAGTATCGAACTCATTTCAAATTCATTGTTTAATAATGTTTAACTGAAAAATTCGGATAATGTTTCAACATTTCATTTGATCAATTCTTGGACATAAAGCTTTTGGATGTATAGAGTACATATATTATACAAGATTTGTATTATAAACAATATAATTTCTTATCTAAATATTTCGCATTGATATTTTTTGTATTGTTGATTGACCATTTCCACAAGTTAAACATTCAAAAAGATAACAAGAAAAATTGATGTCTTAGATCGAAATTTCAACAGAATAAATTGATTATGAATATCATAGATGGATTAACTGTTTCGAAAATGTCCTATATTACTCTTGTGAAACATAATCTAAAAGGAATACTGAAGTATAGAAGTAGAAATTTGGACATTCCTACAGACATGATAGATATCTTAGTAACGACGCATTACAACCCGTGACGGACACAATCATAAAAACGTTATAGAATGTGACAGATGTTGTTGATATACGATCAAAGACCGTATGAACTACTTCCTTATTCCATTTCCGAAGGATTGAATAAAACTATAATGAAATGTATCCCAAACAAGATAGAATAAAATAATCTCTCTATGATTAGCAATAGCAAATACATCGTCTTTCACATTTTAATCTTGCAGGGATTGGACTAATAGCTTGGTTTTTTTTAAAGCTATCATCTCAACTAAAACATTCATGAATATTCTTCATAAAATATTTGTATTTCAAGTATCAAATTGTATTATTAATTATTTGATCAAAACGAAATTTTCTATGTGTTATATTAACAGTTGAATTAATTCATTGTTAATCTGATTTATTAAAGAAAAACTTTCTTTGAACATCTAGTTTATCTAATGATTTACAATCGAATAGAAAAAGACACACCTATAAAATAAGATAAAATCAATAATATCTATCAAAAACAAATAAAACAAAAAAAAAATTTCATTTATTTTAAATCATAAAAATCAATTCTTAGTTTTCTTGTGTTTTTATCTCATCATTTTTTAATGGCTTTTTTTCTTTTTCTCCTATTGATTTTTCAATTTTATGACGACTACGTTCATCAAGATATCGTAAAAGACTATCAATAAGATCCGGTGGTGTTGATGATGATGATGATAAATTATCAAATTCAGTTGTTTTCGTTTTTTTTGAAATTGATGATAATTCTTGATATTCCTTTATATCAAAAAATAAAATAATAAAAAATAAAACTTAATTAATAAATTTAAAATTGAATTCTATTTACTGTTAATGAACGTTTTTGTCCTTTAATAATTGTTTTTGTTGTTGTTGTATTATCCAATGATGAATAAAATTGTTTATGTTTATATGATACAGTAGAAGCATAATCATACATTGTCATTTGTTTGATATGAATTTTTTTAATAGTTTTTGTTCGTTTTCGATTTTTTTTTGGTGCTGTACAATCATTTTCATTAAATTCAAACAAATCATCTTGATTTGTTTTACGACTAATTTTCATATAAACAATAAATAATTTTTTTTTTTCTTTTCTTGAATTTGAATAATTAACTTACTTTAAATCATATTTCGTTAATGTTTGTCGTGGAATAGATGATTGTTTTTCATTAAAATCATTAAAAATTTCATCCAAATCAATATCATCAAAATTATCATCATTAATATTATTGACCATTTCAGAAAAAAATCAAATTTTCTGAAGAAAAAAAAATTAGAAATTTATCTGTTCGAATAAAAAATATTCTCAAATCAAAAAAATTTAATACATTGATTTAACAACATTAGATGAATATGTATATATATATATATATATATGTGGACTAAGTTCAATGCTTTAAACAAAGTTATACTTATAGAAAGATATCGATCGTGTTTATTTTCGACGATAGAAGAAGTTTGAATCATATGTATTTATATTCTTGTTGTTTTTCCTTCTTATTTCATCCTTGCCGTCAAAATTCGACCTCGTCTATTATATTTATTTCTCTATCGATTTATCAACTATGGGATTATTCATGATTAAATTTTTCTATGACTAACTATCGATCACGCGATAACATTTTTCATTTCGAAAGTTTTATGGATTTATTATTTAAATAAATGATATAACTATTCTATCATTAACTTGTTGTATATATTAATAGATATTGACATTCACTAAAAGTCTATGGATGATTTTTAAGATCATTTTGTATGATTAAGTAAAACTGACAAATATTTCTTTAAACTTTTCAATGCATACAGTGACTTCCAAAATTATTCTATCAGGTTTATTTTCAATTTTTTTTTTCCATTGCCGTAAACGCCAGTAAGAATCTGGATAATGATTTATGTAGAGAGTTTTATTTCGAATAAAGATTTCCCAAGATGAAAATGATGGCTAGTTTTCCAAAGATAGAATTTCTGAAAAATCAGAAACCAAGGTTTTCATCTTTCGGTACTCATTAATAGAATTTCATTTGAATTAGTTAGAATGAGAGAGCAAACACAAAATGAAACATCTTTCAGCTCTCTAGAACGCTTTTTGATCTTACGAAACACACAAAAGATGATGCTTTTATACGGAATAGCAGAACACAGCATGTTTAGCGCTGACATGTGAAATTCATAAATCTTCTTTAGATTTATTATACTAGTACAAAATGCGTCAAATGTAAAATCATCAAAAGATGAATGTTTTGTTCTAAGAATAATCGATTGTCAGCAAATGCTATGTCTTTTTTATTTCTACATGTCGAACAGAAATTTTTTTTTCTTTTCTTTTTTTTTGACTGGTACGCTTTTTCTATTGATCTTCGCTTGAAATTTATTTTCTTTTTTATGTCTTTCTCATAATTTATTATTATTAATCTAACGATTGATTTATTGAACAAATAAGTATGTTGTACATATTCGTTATATCTACAACAAATCTTAACGATCTATTAGTTATGTATCTCGATGAACTCAAAAAGTATTGATATTGATTATTTCCGAAAGTTAGAACTTAATCAGTTCGTACTTTCGTGTTGGCCATCATCCGTAATATCTATCATATAATCATTTATCTGCGCAAAAATCAGAAATTGTATTATTTAGAATATTGAAAAACGTATTCCAGTCATTTAAATTTCAAAGCAAATTCTGAAATATTCTAGAACTCTGTAAGTAATGTCGTTCAGCGCGTTTAATCCTAGTTGCTAAGATTAGTAATGAGGACAGTGGGAGCGGGATTTGCAATACATATATATGAGTTTCACAAAACGACCATTATACCTTTCGTAGCATCGTAGAATTGGAAGACATTTCATTTCATGTTCGGTCGATCATTCTGATTAAATCAAACAGAATTCTATTTTGCAAATTCCATGAGATGAAAATCTTGGTTTTCAGTTTTTTAGAGACTCTTTCCTTGGAAAACTAGCAATTAGTTTTATCTTCGAAAATTCTTGTTTGAAATAAAATTCTCTACACAACTCATTATTTAGATTCTTATCAAGATTTATGTCAATAGAAAAAAATTGAAAATAAATCTGATTGAATAATTTTGAAATCGGTTTGTATTCATTTAAATTAAATGATATTATTTGAATATTTTGATACGTTGATAAATTCATAACAAAAGCAATCTATTTATTTTGATATCCATGAATACAAATTGCTTGATGATTTTAAAAAATGATAAAGAAAAAAAATGTGTTAAAAAAAACCACAATAAATTAAATGCGAGAATACAATAGATAAAATGATAATGACCATGTCGAGAATATTTAATTAATGTTTAGAAAGAAAAAAAAAACAATAAAGTCAAATTTATTGTCACTAGAAGAATATCATAATAAGAATCATTATTGTAAGATATAAAACAGATCTAATCGGTTTAATATTTATTCCATTTGATGTTACTTTTATAAGACCACACGCATATCGTGCACCAGCATTTCTATTTCAAAAACAAATAAAATCAATAAAAATATTAACCAAAAAAACAAAAAAATCATACCCAGTTATATTACTTTCACCCGTACCATGACCACCATCATCAAACAAAAGATGTACAATAATAGTTCGACCAGCAATTGATTGTGTAGAATTATAAAATTGTATAATATAATCGTTCATATTGATATTAACTGAACCATTTGCATCCGTTGTTATATTTCCAAGATCACCAACATGTCGGTGCCATATATCGGCTTCACGAGGACCATGACCAGTATCTAAAAATTTTATATATATTTTTTTTTATGTTGTTTTAATATAATAATATCAAAAATTAGATACTGTAAGGATTAAAATGGCCAGCAGCTGCTGCACAATCTGGTGAAGTTTCTGCTACGGGATTGGTATGAACATGAAAACCCTTTGAGAAAAATTATATGAAAAATTTTTCTTTATCATAAATTTTTATTAAACATACATGACTGCTACTAGCATTCAATGAATTAAGTTTACCAGTAATTTGTACAGGTGAATTAGCATCATTTTGACTAAATGTCAATGTTCCAATTGATGTTGATGTAAGATGTTGTTGAAGATTAGCTGTAGCTACTATGCGACATTGTCCGTGATGAATTAATAGTAATAAAATACTAATCAATAATATGAACATTATGATTATATTCGAAAAATTTACAATCTATTAAATAAAGAAAAATATAATTGATCAATATTATTAAAAAAAAATTTATATGAAACAAAAAAAACAAAGGTAACACAATCTAAAGACTGAATAAATAATAATATCAAATAAAACGACATAGTGTTTCTTTTATATACGTTGTCTTTTTTTTTTCGTTCTCATGATATTTTATACTCAGGTCAAGGTTTTAAAAATGATATTAAAAAGACATTTTTTTTAAACTCGTATAAAGGGTATTGCGTACAAAATATATTTAATCCCCTAAATATTTTATACACGAACTCCGGAAATTATTAAATATAATTTCTCTTCTACACAGTTTTTTTTACATTTCCTATCTAGCCTTATATTTATCTTATCTTCTAGGTAAACCTCAAAGCTGTCATCTTTTTTTCTCGTATCAAGTATATGTCTATAGATTTAAGCAACTAACAAACAAAAATATTCGTGACTATATATACTACATAAGTATAATAGAGAGGAAGGAGATACAGGGGAAAAAAAACAAAATCATCGATTGGTGACGTCAATAACAATAAGAACATAGATAAAAGTTAACGCTAAAATTTTGTGTTAAATCATTACAAAAATGTTTCGACGTGATATATGACATAGTAATAAGAATAGACAACTATAGAAAGTTATTTAAGGAGAAAAAGGAAATAAACGTGATGGAGAATATAGGCGTTTTTACTTTTCTTTTTTTAACCGTTCTTTTTATACGTTATTCAACCTAATGATGCAAAACATGATTATGAAGTATTTTTTTATTCACATATGGCTTCAAATAGCGACAACAAGTGCATAAAACTATTCATATCGATAAAAATATGTAAACCCTTTTGTATAAGAACCAGGGTAACGGGAATAATATTCATTTTATTGATGACAGAAAGTATAAATACGCAAAATATGATGAAAAAGGAAAAAAACAGCTGATTCATTTATTTCGTTCTGTAATTTGAGTAGAAGAAAATAATATGAGTTTGACAAATGGTTACAAAACGAAAATATAGAGTCACACGATTTATATTACTTAATGGAATCATTATTTGTCTTGAAAATTGATATTCAGTAAAATTTTAGAATCTTCAGTTGTGAAGAGTTGAATATTTTATATAAAACTTTTGTTTTTATTTGATTTTTATTCTAGATAAACAAGATTAAAAAAGATAATCGTTTATAATTGATGATCTTGTATTTTTTTTTTATTATTTGAAAAAGATAAAGAAATAAATAAGTTAAGAAAAGATTTTTTATGCTGAAATCAAATAGCTATATGAAATACTATTTATCAAAATATAAGGCAATTTCATCTTACTTTTTCGATCTGATTGTAAGCTATCAATCTTATTTATTTAGATTTTTATTTTAATTACTTTGATCTTAATATTCTCTATTGAAAATATTCATTGCACATCATAAGTCATAAATAGCACTACCATAAAAAAAAATTGAAATATCTTCGCTTGAATTCGCTCGAATTAAGTAATTTGTTAATGGTAGAAGCAACTTATTTAAAAGTGTTTTTTTTCTCATATGAATAACTGTAAATAAATACTACTACCAAATTATATTTTTGACTTCGATGCAGAAATTTCATATATAAGATGTCCTATAAGTTTTGGGTCTCAACGAAAATTAGTTTATATGTCAACGAAGAGTGATCCTTACCCAACTATATCTATATGAACTTCGAGTATTTAGGATCATGTTTTAAACGATATTATCTCTTTTAATAATAATTATATAAACAAAAGAAACATGATAATTAGGGTATGAGTACAGAGGATAGTCAAACTCATATCCTAAATACTATGCATCATTTTGTATAATTGTGTTACATTACATACGATGATTTCATATTTGATTAGAACTTCTGAAGAAAAAAAATACTACCTGATTTCGAAGTTTTAATTATATCACGTTTCTCTTTATTTATATCATTATTATTAAAAGAGATAATGTCCTTTAAAACATCGTCCTAAGTATTCAAAGCTCATATAGATATAATTGGATAGTGGTCAGTCTTTGTTTACATATTAACTAATTTTTATTGAGGCTTAAAACTTATGAGACACTCTTTATAGTCAAGTAAGAAAAAAATACATATGAAGCAGTTCATAGATAGTTTTCAATTGTCATTGTTGATTTTTTAAACTATTTATTTCTGAAAATTCACTCTATTTGCATCGGTATAATATCATTCGTAAAGTTTATTTTGATCTTTTTTTTTATTATTCTCTTAGATAACAACTGAAAATTATTTATGAAACGCTTCATATGTATTTTTTCTATTTGATAACAAGTAAAATTGCTTTCATAATACTAACAATAAAACTTAATAGTAGTATTTGGTTACTTTATCCGTTTGCAAAAAAGAAAACTTTGAATAAATTTCTATCACGAATAATAAAAAAAAATCAACTCATTTGATTGAACTGATGTGGAGATATTTCATTTGCTTTTATCGTAGTGTTATTTATGGTACATTTAAACAATAGAAATGAATATATTTCCAATAATATGATAGTACAATTTACATCGAATCATTGTTTAACAAATGTAATAGAAAAAAATTCATTTAGATAATTTAATGAATAGAGATTCAATATTAACATATTTGATATCATTCAATATTCTAGTAATTATTGAGAATATTCAACTAGTTGATAATGAAATCTATGATTTTTATTCAGCACATCGTTTTACTTCACATGAGCTTGAATATAGACATAATGTTATATATCTAATCTTAACTTTTACGATCTGGTACTGTTTTGAACCTTCTCAAACAGACAAAAATTTCTGAAAATGAGTTTAAACCATCTAATCACGTGGGTCTAGTTTAAATATTTTTACGTTCATTCAGAAAATATCAAAACTAGCTACTTCCGTTATAACATGTGCATGATAAAAATGCTTAAAAAGGCAAATTTTACATCTGGACAACATTCAAAAAATTGTCTCAACATGTTTTTGATAGATACCACACATTAAAAAAGCCATTTTTATTTGTAAAACACGTCAAAATATTACGGAAAAATAAAATTTCACGGTTTTTCAAATGCAAAAATTGCCTTTTTTAAGTATCTTCACGCATCTCTTATAATGAAAGTACCTGATTTTGATGTTTTTTTGAATACATATGAAAACATTCAAATAAGAACTGAGTAGCACACATAAAAGAAGAAATTATATGGTAATCATTCATTCATGATAACATCAAGTATATATAACTGATTATAGTAACATTTATTACATCTATAAAAGTATTTGATTTCTATTTTCATAGTAATAGCACAATCATCGATTTACTATTACTATAAACTGAATATTCTACATAATTTTTGATATTCATTTGTCAAATTAATTTTAATATAATTCATATAATTGATGAAAAGATCATCTATTTGATAGTATTCTTCTGACAGTAATGTCATTTTCAATTAAGAACATAAGAATAATTATTTGTAGATCAAATTATTTACTTCATAACAAAGAAAAAACGTAGAGAATTATCTTACGCAAATAAACGATTAAAATCTTTATTTGTTTCACTAATTATATTTTTGAATAGAGTTTATCTATTTTGAAATGTTAAATTAATTTGAAAAGAAAAATTCTAGAATGAACTTATTTCTATTGCAAACAAAAGTTTTAAAATCTCTTCAGATTAATCTTAATTAAATCAAATTAACAGAATTTTTGAGTAGATCATCTTTACTGATATAATAAAATTCATGAACGTCATTATATAAATTAAATTATTTTAATTAATTCGAAATAGTATCATTAATACAAGAAAATATTATAATCTTTACAAGTACTTGTTGTATGAAATCTATTTGAATTAATCATAGTAGAACTTGATCTGATATACTTTTAGAATCGTTCATAAAACATATTAACCAATAGAACGAACAGATTCCAAAATTGTTATCTTTCAGAAATAGACAATTTTAAGAGAGTTCGAAAGTAAAATTCCTCGAATTTGTAGCATGAGTTCGTTTCAATTCATAGGATATAATAGTCACTAATAAAAAAACATTACACTAAGAACTTAGGACAACAATGACAGTTATCCATATTTTTCGCTGTTTACAATGAGATACGGTACGAAATTCGGTCGTAATCCTGATACCGGTGATGTATGAATAAAAATGGATTTCGAAAAAAAAAAAAATTTTCATTTATTAACAAAATAAAAGGGAATATATGATGATAGAAAGAAATACGAGGCAAAACTTTGCTCTAATCTTTCACTGGAGAAATATGTTATTATAATAAAAATTGTACTAGATGGAAAGGTGAAATCAATTCAAATAACAATAAAGAAAAAGATACAAAGAAAAAAAAGAATATGTCAGAACGTGATCCGTAACATCTGGTCACTGTAATATGACACCGTATACAACATTCGATTAGTGTCGTGTGCATACCATATTCTCATTAAATAGGATCATAAAATATGATGTGTGAACGTGCCATATTTGACCGTGTACGGTACTGTTCAATCAAGGGAGAGATGAACAAGTCAGTGATTTTTCGACATAAGTCAAATCATAATCTATTCAAAAAATTTTCAAATCAAGTTAACAACTGACTTGATTTGTGTATCTTTCACAACTTGTTAAAATATATTATTTTACTAATTAAATTATTGTAATATAACGAAATGAACGTATTTTCGAAAAAAAAAAATTTCTACATATTTCATAGACATTCATTTTATTTCAATGTCAATTTACTATTCTTGATTTGTTATTTTTCCACTAGATTTCAAATTAGAAACTAAAATTCTGATTTGTCTATAAGCAAAAATCTTTGTTTGTTCTTCATACTGTATGTATTCCTGAGATTTTCTCAAGGTTTTATATAAAAAAGAAAGCAAAGTTGGAACTAAAAGATTCAGCAAATGTCAACTACGGCTTCAATTCTTAAAAAGACTACTCATTCATTCTTACCAACACTCCAAAGTAATCAGACGAAATATCATCTGTTTATCAAAAGAAGAAAATTGATAACATTATTTTCGAATTTTCTTCTATTAACTATAATAATAAAAATTTATCTCAAAAATTTTTATTTTTGAAAATTTCATATTAAAAAAAAAGAATTTTTATTTTATTTAAATTGAATAAAAACAAAAATGCAAGAAATATTTTTTAGAAAAATATTTTAGAAAAATATCATTGAAACAGATTTGATATATATATATATAATTCATAAAAGAAAATCAATTTTTATTTAATGATGGTTTCATTTGAAGGAGTTTTGCCTTCCATGTTCGATCACATTTAAAAATTTTTAAATCACATTTATAATGTTGAGGACAACAATGTATATGATCTGAACAACAAACACCTTCTTCCAATGGACAACATGAATAATCACCATCTATTGATATACAACAAGTACTAGTCGATGGACACATTGATACTCCATCTGGACAAACAATAACAGCATGTGATGATAAATCGGTATCAATATTATTTGTTAATATTATTAAAAATAATGAAAAAAATAAGATGAAAGTAAATGGTTTCATTTTATACGATAAGATAAAATATAATGTAGACTGATGTTTTGGTTTGCATATTTTATTATTATTCAAAGATAAGAGAGATACAATAGCGTCTCTTAAAAGAAACAAAAAAAAGATCCACAAAAAAAAAAACAAGCGTCCGAATGTGTAACAAAAGAAAAGTATACAAAGTCGGATTTGAATTTACAAAGACAAACTTTTTTTTTTTTATAAACAAAAAGACTAATATATAGGAATATTCTTTTGTGATGTGTTCTTCTACGAACGACATCTTCGTCTTGGTCGTTTATTTGATTCTGATGATGATGATGGTGATGATGATGTATTTTGTATAAGTAATCGTTTTGATGAAACAGCCGTCGGAAGAATCCACATTGGATTAATATAAAAATTTGATGGTGCCCATATACGTGTTGAACGACGTTGTGGTGTTGATAATGTTTGTATATGTGGTAAAATACTTGTTTGAATACGTAATGGTGATGATAGTCGAGTATTTATAGAACTATTTCCTCGCATATATTCTGTTGGACTTGAACGATGTGATGATGAACCTGATACAGTTGTTGTCGGTGATGGTGATGCATGTTCAATTGAAGATGATGATGATGATGATGTTGATGTATTACTGTCATGTTGAGATGAAGATGATGAATCTTTTTTTTCTAATAGTTCTTAAGAGAAAAAAAATATTAATTGATTGGTCATAAAAAGATTGACAAAAAAAAAGATATCGACATGGAAAATAGTCGAAAAGTGTTTTAGAAAAATTCTGTCTAGCAAGGCACATGCTGTATTGTATGGGATAATACTAACATTCTAACAGATATCAAACATAAGTTAAGAGATAAAAGAAAATAGAAAAAAAAATTATAGTGTCATGTTTTTTTTTTTTGTTTAGCAACTGTAAATGATAAAACTGTGTAAGTATTCTATAGCAATTATACCATAATTATAATATCATTCACCAAGGTTGCCCATATGATGTTGAATTGAAATAAAATAGCTGGCGATTGTGAGTCACTTAAACCTAATGAAGATGGAGCAGCTGCAGTTATAGCAATAGAATTTTAACTATATACTAGTTCTTTGTCAGATTCTTTTAGTTAATCTATATCAAGTATTATTTATTACCATTAATACTAGTTACAAATCTAGACTAGTAGAATGAATTATAGATTCTTTTGGAGTCACCATTTACTGGAAATATAACTTTTTTTGATATTTTTTCCTTTCGACTTTGTACCAATTGATTGATGAAATTTTTTAATAGTAATCTCTGAAAATACCTAATGAATTTTATACATATATATATGTCCTGAATCCAAATCTTCGATCGATAAGATTAATATTATTAATAGTTTGACAATGATCATATTGTTATTTAGTAGCGGTATTCCGAAAGAAGATAGATAATCTGCTTCCCAATTTTTGATTTTCTCTAGCGAAGTTTTAGCATTTTATTTACCAATAGGTCTCCTGGGTTACGCCTCTCCCTCTCACATGTCTGAATTTCTGCTAGGTTTTTTTACAGTTCCGTCGTAACTTTGAATAGAAATCAGATTTTGAAACACGATTTGTCGTTCTCAAACAGAAAGAAAAATAAAAAGAATCAGACAATATCGTTGTGAAGCGAATAAAATTTGAATAAACCCTGGGGGGGAGAGACAGCCTATTGGCAGGTCGTTTCTGGCGGAAGAGACCGGATCATAGTGGGTTTCATTTTTCCTTTCCTCCCTTTCCCTCGATTACCATTTCTACTAATGCGAGGGTTACAAATATAGTTTATAATAATCAAAAAGATTCATTAGATCGATGTAATATTTTCAATTTATAAAAAAAACAAACTTTTGTATCATATCTCAATTGTTAATAAATCTTAAAAAACGATTTCAAATTTTAATCTGAATCAAGAACATTAATTCTAATTATTCAAAAGTAGACATCATCTCAATAATAATAATATCAAAATTCATTCATAGAAAAGTAATTATAATATTTTTTGAAATATTTAACATGCAATATAATTTCCTGTATAACACTTCAAAATAATTTATTTAATAGAATGGTCCAATTAACAATTCCTTCTCTCTCTATATATTTTTTTTTACACATTTTACACACTTCTTTTTTTCATTATTTCCATAAATAACACATAGAACTCACTAGGAAAAAAAAAATTGAACTAATTTAAATGATTTTCTTTTGTTTCAAATAAGTTCAAAAATTTTCCTAGACATGTAAATGATAATTTAAAAAAATATTCTACTTTTTTTTTCTTACCTTGACTTTCTACACTGTTCATACGTTGATGACGACGTAAACTATTTTGAGAAATTTTTTTCTTACATAACATATGTTGTCTTCTTGTTGTTATAGTTGATGTTGGTTGTTTTAATTTTTTTGATTTATTTAATATTAAACTTGAATTTTGTTCAATAGGTTCTGATTTAATTGAAATATTTAATGGTATTGATAAATCAATCATTGATGATGATGATGATGATAATGATAATGATGAATTTATAGGAGATATATTTGTTTCATGTTTTATTTTATTTATTGATTCATTTGAATGTTTATCCATAGATGTATTTATTAATGGTGGAGATGTTAATGATTGCCATGATTGTCTTGATCGTGCATACATTTGAAGATTAGAACGTTGTTTACGATGTAATTGTTGATGATAATGTGGAGAAGATATTGATGATGATAAATTTTCAGTATTAATTTGTTGAGATTTATTTGTATATTCTTTATATAAATCTGTTTGTTTTAACCATAATGGTGGATTATCTGTTAGATAAAGAAGAAGAAAAAATATCGATTAATTAGATTAAAAATATAAGAAAATATCTAAATATACCTTTATAAATAACAAATGACATTAATTCATGTACACTAGAAATAGTTGATAGATATGAATTATTATTTATTGATGTACGTTTTGGACGACGACGATGATTAGGTGAACTATATGATTAAGTAAAAAAAAATTTAATTAAGTAAAATGATTTTTTTTTTCTCTATTTCCTACGTATTTCCATTGATTTTATTTCCTGTTGGTGATGATTTATTAATCTAATAAAAAAAAAAGAAATTATATTAGATTGTTTGATAAAATTGAAGAAAAAAGAAAAAAAAAACAACTATACTTCTAATTTATTGTCAACATTAACTTCGATTTTAGCTGATGGAATATTACTCATTTTTTTCTTGGATATAACCTAGAGAAAAAAAAACATTTTTTCGTTTTACTTCTTGTTTTTCTTTGTTTTGTTCATAAGAGAGTATTTAGTGAATAAACTTACGGAAAGATTTGAAGTTGATTTTGATTTACGTATCGATCTATTATCATGACCGAATTCGATTGATTCCGAGATTTTATTATGCATATGTTATTTGACAATCTGCAAACAGCAAAAATATTATAACCCTCGTATTACAAATAAAAAGCAATTCGTCACAACCGTCATTTCTTTTTTCTTTCCTCTTTCTACTTATTATTCTGCATTGCGTTCATTCATTGCTGAAGGAATGCAAACTGTCACTATTGTGCCTTTTTTTTCTTTCTCTTGTCGAGTTTCCTATCGATGTCTCGCTGTCATTTTTGTTTTGTGCTTTTTATTTGTACTCTATGCGTTTTTTTCTGCTTGTCTTCTATTAAATTTTCTATTAGATCAATGAATATTTTTACACAAATCGCTACACAATTTTTTATTAATAAGAATACACTTGTTCAATTATTAAAAACATTAAATTTTCCAAATGAATTCTTGACTGAATTTCGTAATGATCGGATTTGTATTGATGAAGATTTAATAAGACGAAGAATACGTATATTATGTGAAATAAATCAAGATGAATCTTTTCAAGATTTATTTTGTCATGAAGATGGTATACAATTTGTATTTCATATTAATTTTCATGATCATCATTTTATACGCTTTCGTATTAGTTTTGATATTAAAATAATTGCACTTATTTTAAATAATCATCATCAAACTATACAATTTATGATAAATAATATTCAAATAAAATCACTTAATCGTCTATCAAAAGCATTCCGATTTTGTGTTCAGGTAAAAAAAAAAGAAATTCTCGTTATATATTTTCCTATATAGTTTATTTTAAACAATATCTGTCATAAAGCTTTTAAGACTATTTCCGTTTTAAAGAAAAAAACAAAATGTTTCTTCTCAAAATATATTTCAGTGACAAGCAAAATGAAAACAAAAACAAGAATATATCAATATTATCTATAAAAAAAAAATCAATTAAGTTTTTAGGAAAATATATTCCCATTAGCTTAGTCATATCTTTTATGATCTACTATTCATTTGCTATTTTTCGTCAACATCAAATAATGAATATTTCTATGACTTCAATATATTAATAAAAGATAAGATCAAAGATTAAGATTAACCCTACTATTATATTTATTTTTTGGTTCACTCAGCTATTATGATTTAATATTTGATAACCTAATGGAATTTATTAATCTTTTCTATTTATCATCATATTCAATATTTTAAAATTACAAAATAAAAGAATTTCTTTATTAAAATATTTTTTTTTCGTTTTTCTCTAGTCCAAAGTTCGAACATTGATTATTGATGAACTTGAACGTATATGTACAGAACAACATATTCCATATGAACGATTATTTCGTGATATAAAACGTCCGTTAATATATGAAATAAATTTATCTAATATAAAAGAATTTGATCAATTACGTGAACGATATTTAATTATTGGTAATCGTTCAATTCTTGATCTTATACAAATAACATATGTTGAACATCGTGAACAATCTATTGTATTAGGTTATCGTTTAAATACAACATTAAATGACGAATCAACTACACAATTTATTGATTGTTAATATAATTAAAAAATAAACAAAATCTTACTTACTTATTATATTAATATTAAATGGATATTTATTTCATTAATGTCAAGGATTAAAAAAAAAATTTTTTTTTGTTTTATTTTATTGTCGTTATTGAATGAAAAGAATGACATGGTAAAGTATATCTGAATGGTACAATCGATATGGCAAATAGCTGAACAATTCAACGAGATGTCGCTATTGTTTGATATTGAATGAATTTATGTCATTTTATATTATGTAATATACAATGCGACTATAAAATCTATTTATAAGAAATATAAAAATCAATAGAATGATTTTTAATGAATACAATAAAATTTATAGATTTTATTCTTGGAAATGCAATCAATATGACTATTATTTTAAAAGTGGTATTCTCGGAAATTCTTATTGACATACGTATACAAACTTAAATTTCAGGTCGTCAAGAAACAAAAAAAAGTCTATTCTCAAATTCGGTATAATTTTCTATATCACTAGAAATTGATTTCCTACTTTCTTTTTTCTCTTAGAAACTTTTGATGGTTATAGTTTATTCAGAATTGTCTCTCAATTATCATATGATGCTTTCTTCATGACAATTCCAGTACATTCTCAATCAGTCAAAATCATTCGTTCCATTCATGACTTTGCTGGTGTGTGTCATGCTAGAAAAATCATAATCATCTGGAAAATGTTACTCCTTATTTGAGCAAAGCTTTTAATATTAATTGATTGAATTTTACATTTATCGATCATTACAATGAAGTAAATTTATATGATTTTAAAATATTGGATTGATTAAATATGGAACAATGATTGTTTTGAATGATATTATTAATTCATTATGCATCAGATGATTTAGAATATATTCAAAATAATTCAAACTATACAAAAATATTTCATAAAGAAAAAAATTGTATATAAAAATAATCTCCATAATATAGTGAACATTTTAAATTGGAAATAATAACTTTATTAAGATTCCGATACTTATTTTTTTAATATAATTATTTCTTATTTTGTTAATAAAAATTCCCGTACAAAATAAATCTGTTAAATACTTCTAATTGATTATTTTCCTTCAATTTCGTTTTGTTAACTTGGACGAAACGTATAAGATAGAATTTATATTTACTACTAGTCAAATTCTTTTCCTCATGATTGATCGATATTCATGAAAATTGAAAAAAAATCGTATTTGGGAATTTTTGACTTGTTTCATTAAATTTAATAAATAACGACTATATATATATATTATCATCGAAGCTTTATTATTTAATTCTTTTTTTGTTTTTATGAATATAATATTTTTCAGAGGTATTTATTGAATTAATAAGCTTGAAATGAAAGATAAAATATTATCTTATCTCTTCTTTAAAATTTATTAAATATGTATTATTATTATTATTATTATTATTATTATTATTATTATTATTATTATTATTATTATTATTATTATTATGAAAGGTTGAAAATAAAAGCCATACAAAAGAAATCTTTAAAATAAATTCAAATTCAAATAGTATTAGATCGATACAATTTAATAATGAAAAAAATTAACTTTTAAATACAAAAGATTAATTTAAAGTCAAGAAAAAAATTCTCATATCACAGTATAGAATTCAAATACAGATTAATACATCGCGCAAAAAATAGAACAAGAAAAGAAAGAAAACAAACCTCAACAAAATATGCATTACCATGATAAAAAAAAAATAGTACGTTATCTAGGATAAGGTCACACAGTAAATATTAACATTGATTTATACTGACAACGCATAAATTTTTCTAACAAAAGACGATTGGTTGTTCTTTTGTTTATTAAACAGTTCATCATATATTGACTAACATACAAATGAATTTAACTAAAGTGACAGAAGATTTTTCTTCAGCATTAATGGAAAAAATGCTTGCTTCACGTTTAGATTTAAAAGATTATGTTTTACAAAATGCTCGTCAAGGTGATATTCAAAATATAATTGATACAATTGATCGTTATGGTTGGACTAAACATTGGTTAATGAATATTGGTGATCGAAAAGGAGAAATTCTTGATCAAGCTATTCAAATAAGAAAACCAAAAACTATTCTTGAACTTGGTATTATTTATTTATTTTTTTGTTTGTTTACACAAATAAAAAATCTATTGATATTTAATCTTAGGTACTTTTCTTGGTTATAGTGCATTGAGAATTATTTCTCAATTACCAGATGATATTCTTTTGATTACAATTGAAGCTGATTCTCAATCTGCTGAAATTGCTCGTACTATTCTTGAATATGCTGGTGTAATTAATCGTGTAAAAATTATTAATGATTATACAGAAAATGTTATTCCTAATTTAAGTAAAAATTTTAATATTGATTCATTTGATTTTATATTTATCGATCATTGGAAAGATGCATATTTACGTGATTTTAAAATGCTTGAAGATATTGGATTAATTAAAAGTAAAACAATGATTGTTGCTGATAATGTTATTCGACCAGGTGTACCAAATTATTTAGAATATGTTCGAAATAATCCAAATTATACATCAACATTTTATCCAGGAAAAATTGAATATCGAGAAGATTTAGATGATGGTATTGAAATATCAATTCGAAAATAAGAAATTTATACATTGAAATGTTATACATACAAATAAGAAAAGTGACCTAAAAATTTCTAGATATAATATTTTCCTATTGTTTTTTTTTCTCGTATTTAAAATATATTGAAGCAGAAATTTCTATTCTTTCAGAATATATATTTAGAATTTGTCTGTAATTTTTGACTATTGAGCTATAAATAAATCTTGACATGGCTCAAAATAATTTTCTGAAGAAACAAAAATCTTCTCTGTTTCTTGTAGATAGGAAATAAGTTCTGAAAATATATAGTATAGAAAGATGATCTCTATTGTACAATATGATGCAAGAATGGAAAGTTTTGATTAATGGCAGTTGTGACGAAAAGTTATTTTGCGCTCAACAGGCGAAAGTCAAAAAAATAGTCATTTTTCTTGCAATGGACTTTATAAAAGTCTTTTGAGTGCATCATCATAGTTTATAACTATTTAATAATGAAAAAAGAAGAAGGATATAAACATTTATATATATATATTTTTTTGATTTTTCATTTATATAAAAATACATGATCAATATCAAAAAAAGTTATTTTTATTTCTTTATACAGAAAATCTTTCGAGAAACAAACGAATAATATATTCTCTTTTTTTCTTTGATGTTCATTGGATGTTTATTCTTGCGGCAAAAAAAAAGAATATGTAAATAAGCCATACAACTTTTTATCTAATAGAAGTCTTATCATATATCAATAACAATCGGTAACTATCAAAAGAGTTAACAACATGCATGAATGGCAATAAAATATCTTCAGATTGATAAGAATAGCATAAACTATTCCAGCTTAGGGTTAGAATGACATACGAAAAATCGTAAAAATGCGCAGAAAGATTTTGATTAGCTAGGGAAAAAAAAAGATCATTAAAGGATTCAAAATAGGAAAAAAAAATCATAACACATCATTGGCTTTATCATAGTATTAATAAATCAGTTATTCATTTAATATTCATGTTTATGCAAAAATGTTTTTGCTGTCATCAAAATGCTAAAAAAAACATGTCTATGTGTCATTCAGATCTATCGTTGTAAAATGACTTTTATTATCTTCAAACCATTGGATGAGATATTAAAGAGTTGTATAGTTTAAGTACTTTTAAATGTTGTTTTTTTTTATATATATAGAATGAATGAATTTCAAAAATGAAAAGTTCAATATATGTTATTTGATCATTGTATAATGAAAAATCATGTTTAATAAAATGGTCATCAAAATGATATTCAAAATACTATTAACTTCGATTAGATAAAATAATGATTGGTCAATATCGATCATCGACAAAGAAAAATTCTTGATCAAGTTATTCAAATAAAAACTCACCCTCGAATTGGATATACACACTTGTTAAATTTTCTGAATTGCTCACCAGCAATTAATATGTCATTATTGTTCTACTGTAATCAATTTCAAGTATAATGTTTTGAGATTTACTAATAAAACACACTTGCTTGAATCTAAAGCTTTTCTGAACTAAATGGAACAAGAGTTGTAGCCAGACAAGAATTTTCTAACTAGTTCAGCCCATCAGTTTGTTGGATTATTATTAATCGGTTAATCGGAATGACTTCAAAAAAAAAACATTTCTTTTCCTTTTTTTTTACTCAGACTTATAGAAATCCTGTTATAGTCGTTTATATCTGTTCAGGTTTTTCAAAGATGAATAAAGGGTATCTTATAAATTGTGAATCTCCGTGAGAATTAGTTGATATGTAAACAAAGAGTAGTCCTTATTCAACTATGTCTATATGAACTTCGCGTACTTATGACGACGTTCTTTTTTAATAATAGTGTTATAAACAGAACAAACGTGATAATTAGGGGTGTGAGTACAGAAGATAGTCACATCCATACCCTACGTATCATTTTGTATAATTGTGTTACACTACATACGATGATTTCAATTTTGATTAAAACTTATTAAAAAAATACTATTTGATTTCAGGGTTTTAATTATAACACGTTTCTTCTGTCTATAACAAAGAACATCGTCATAAGTATTCAAAGTTCACAGAGATATAATTGAGTATAGATCATTCTTTGTTTACATATTAACTAATTTTCATTGAGAACTCAGAACTTATGAGGACATCTTTTTTGTGATATCTCTGTATATAACGTGAAAAAGAACAGCTATTTACCTCTCAACTGATTGCTAAACTATAAAACTTGAATTTTCTCATTCAGCTTTTCCAGACAAACCCAACGTTTCTCTCTTCGAATGACGATCTAAAACTAAATTTGGTTTTTTATTAAAACATATATGATATAAGCTTAACCCAAGTAATGCAGCTTTGATTGTGTTTTTTAATAAATGAAACATGTGCTCTCAACAAATTTTATTAGAGAAAAAAATAGTATACAGTAAAACTATTCTTTAGTGAACACCATAGAGACCATTCAAAAGTGTTCACTTTAGAGATTTGAAGTATAGTTTGCTATGAAATGAAGGAAAGGTTCGAGGAAATCTATTTCTATATTAGTCGTAGATAAAGGCCTGATTGTTCATTCTCTTATTTATCTATTTTCATTTGAACGATTTAGAATGAAAGGTTTTTATAATTATAACACAACATCTAATTGTTGTTTAAAAAATTTCTCTGATATTGTTTGTCTTTTTGCACATTACTATACAAACCATTCATACAACTGATCGTCTAGTTTTTATACATTAACATCTTTTAGTTTTCATTTAATAGTTTAATTCTAACTTATTTCGTAATCATTTAAATATTCTGTGTTACGTTTCAAAATATTTAATATAAAGCCGAATGATATATTATATTTTTCAGTCAATTTACATTGTCATAAACTACTACCATCTTTATTATCATGAATTAATAGTATTTTTTCTTGCAGAATAAGGTCACATCGTCATGTCATTCTTTACTTCATACGTACAACGTCGCATCATACACACAATATATTTACTCGTACTGCGTAAGAAACAGGTGACCGAAAAGAAAAGGAGGTCAAAACAATATAATCACATTAGAGATGTTATCATAGCAAAAAGGGACCCAAAACAAAAAAAAGTTCATTGTTCAGAATAACGGGGTGTTCACATTAGGGAGAGGCATGTCCAGCAGAAATTGCTCCATCGGATTCGAAACCGTTCATAATTACGAGATGTTCACTAGTAAAAGCTTTACTGTATCCATAAAATATTTTTCAACCGATGAAGACCAGCCGGATCGGATCGATTATAAATCTAAACGGAACATCCTATATTTTTCACAAATAGCTATTTCAATAAACATATTCTCCGAACAGGGATATAAGCAATATTAAAGAAGAGATAAAAACTAAATCAGCAATAATTTTCACCTACTATGTTGAGAGAAAAAAAAATTTCACTAAGAAAAAAAAGCGAAATATCAAATAAAAGTCTTCTGAATTTTTCTTCGAAAGAGTGAAAAAACAATTTATTCTTTTTTTGTTTTTCTTCGGCATTTTTCATGATTATATTTCATTGACAATGATTTCTCTTAATAACCAGCTGATGCGTTTTTCATTACAGTTTTAATTAAATTCTCAATTAGTTGCAATTGCTCATTCTATTCATGAATATACTAGTGTGACTAATCATGTAAAAATAATGAATGATGAAAGAAAAATGTCATTCATCATTTGAACAAAGATTTCAATACTGATACACTGGATTTAATCGATCACTACAATGAAGTACAGAAAAACCTTTCTCAGTGAACACTATGTATTATCGAACAGTCTCTCGGATCCTTCAGAGCGAATTTTTCTGATTTTGCATCTCTCTTTTATGAACACCCTTTGATCCGGATGGTCAACACATTTTTTTTGATCCCGTCTGTATGTATTAAGATTAATTGGCTCTATGATTTAATTCAATGAAAGCAAAAAAAAACTATGAACAAACAGATATCGTTGTCATTTTGAACGATTTCTCAACTTTTCTCTATTAGATATAACCCCTTGCAATGCTCTTGATTTAGAGCAACAAAATGAATTTAATCAAAGATAAAGAACTTGGTTTATCTCATCATGAATTAGGAGATAAATTTTAAGTCTCTATCAATGTTGTATCAAATATTCTTAAAAGAAAAAAACCAATGAATATATTACTCTGATAATGAAACTAATCTAAAAAAATTCAAAGTACTAAAAGTCAAAAACTATTTAATAAAAAGTGCGTAAAAGGAAGCAAAAAAATGGTAGAAGTGATATTTTGATTTATATTTGCTTGGCCCTCTTCCCTCATTTATGAACATTCTGTTATACTGAACGATTTTCATCGATTCCAATGATGTTCACAATGTAGAGATTTTTGCTGTATGATTAAAAACATATTTGAAGATATTGGATTAATTAAATGTGCAACAATGATTGTTGCAGATAATTTGATTAATTCATGTGCATTAGATTATTTAGAATATATTTGAAATAATCCAAAATTATACTGGGGAAAAAGGCATTAAGTAATACCATGGGTATCAGAACAAGGGTGTAGCCAGGAATTTTCCAAGCGGTGTAAACCAGTAAGAAAATGATTTTTTTTACTTTGCGAGAACGACTTTCATCCGTACTTCTTTCAGGTGTTTTTTGACCAAGGAGGTACACAGGTTTCTCTGGCTGTGCCCTATATCGAAATGATATTCCTAATAGAATGGCAATATCAATTAAAAAGTTCTAAAATCTCATTAAAGTCATGATTTATATATATTCTAATTAATTATAATATGATTTCGTAGTTAAAATGACTTAAAAATCATGAAGAAATAGAAAAAGAATTTTATAATTTCTATTAAAATGATATATTCTATTGAATAAAATTTTAATGATTAAGAATTTTATCTATATATTATATTCCATTGTTAAATTATTGACAGAATATAATAGTTTTTCTGCAAAAAATTTATCATTAATTTCAAACTATACTTTGACTAGTATACAAATCATCACAAGAGTTTTGTGATTATTATAAAACTCAATTCATTATCAATATTCAATATATCAAACAAAATTCTAAACAAATCTATTTATTAAAATTCCACTAATAATAAATACATATCTGAATATAAAAAAGTCGTGACTGTCACAGTTGAATGCTTTTTGTGACCTATCTAATCGGTTCATAGGTTTGTCTGTACATATATACATGAAGAAAAATGTCTGTCATATGATATTATACTTACCAAATGTCTATTGTCAGTTTCTTTTTCTTTCAATTTGATTCAGTAACCAATGTTGATCGTGAAAAAGTGAAAGAACACAAAAGATATTGTACACGAGACAATATCTTTTGTTTCTTTTTCTCATCATTTAACTTATTTAAAACTCATGTCGGAGATACCAATAGCAATAACTCAACAAACAGATCTATTACCTATTTTACCTGAAATTCATGTTATTGAACCAATTGTTCAATGTGGTGTTCTTTATCTAGGCACAGCATCATCTGGTGCTGGTTTTCATGGTCTTGATGCACTTCAAGAACCATTTTCATATCGATATCCTGTCGATGGTACAAATACAGTTCGAGGTAACTTTATTGAATTTCTTATTTAAAGCAAAAAGTAGAGAAAATATAATTTTATTTATTATTTAATAAAAAACAAAAGGTATTGATGCGGTACTTTCTATTTATGATAATGGTATTCAGTTAGTATTTACTCGTCAACCACATGCAGCAATATTTTTTCCAATAGCTTCTCTTATTTATTGTTCAAGTTTACGTTTTACAGTTATTGAAAATGATTATACAAGGTCAACATCAATGATTGATTGGCGTTTTATGCCATTAGATGCATTTACAATTAATGAAAGTAGACATCCACCATTATTTGGTATTATTATACGACGTACACAAATTTTACCAGGTGATGAATGTCATTGTTTTATAACAAAAAATGTTGATGCAGCATTTTCACTTGTTCAAGCTATATCACAAGCTTATGCAACTATTCAACTGGGAGCTAATTGTTTAAGATCACCTATTTTTTTTCAGGTTAAAAATTATATATTTATAATTGTTTTGTTTTTTACTGAGTTTTGTTTTTTTTCGTTTGAATATTTTTAGTTAGATCGTTTTGGACGAAGATTAAGTGAAGCAAATGGCATTATTTATATATCACCAGCTTATGATGATGATTCATCTTTGAATCGAACAAATACAAATCGATTAACAGATGAATCTACTATTCGAAATTATCTATTTGATCCAACATATGGTGGTTTCTTTTATCGTACTGATGGAAGTCTTATTGAACAATGGCAATTATGGGATGATGATGACAATTTTATTGAATCTAGACCACGTCCACCAGCATCACCTTTTGGATTACATGAAGGTCTTTATCATGATGATACAACACATGAAATTCAACGATATTTGCGTCGTATGGATGATGAAGAACCTTCTTGTTCATGTAGTTGTTCGGGTAAAAGTTTAAGTTCAAGTTCAAGTTCTATTAGTTCAACATCAACAGATTATTCTCGACAGCATAGTCGACATTATTCTAATAAACAACAATTAATAAATGATATTGATCAATTTGATGAATCATTTTCACATTTACAAACAAGTTCATTTGAACCAATTTTACCACAGAATAATAATGAAATAAAACAAACAAAAAAAGCACCAATTATAATTGAAAAAATCATACCGAAATTGACTTCATCGATACCTATTCTTAATCCTAATCTACCTCAACAATCACTGGATAGTTCAGATCCTGTACAAGAACTAACGACAACTACTCTTTCACAAACAGAATTACCTTCTTTTTCATATAAAATAAATAAACGTGGTGAAAAAATAACCAAAGAAGGTAATCGTATTTTATTTATGGATGTTGTTCAACCGAATATACATAAAATTCAAGTTAATCCACAATCTTATCAACCACCAACATCTCATTTTCGTCCTCGACGACAACGATTATCAAAAAAAACACCTGCCATTGATATTCAAAGTCTTCAACGATTCTGCGATGAAAACAATTCTAAAACTCAACGATATTTATATACAGATAATAAATCACAAAATCATTCAAATAATACAAAACATTCAACAACATCAAATATGTTTGAAATTATTGATGGATATTTTGAAGATTATAATGGACGTAAAATAAACTTAAATAATCATCAAGCTCAATTAATGATTAATCATTTTGAAACATTAAGTAAAACAAATCAACAACGAAATATTAATACTATTTCATCAACAAATAGTTCAAAAATTGCAACTCATCATCGTCGTAGTCGATCAACAATAACTACTGGTCCATCAGTTAATTATGTTGAACGTTCTTCAATACCATCTTTTTCTTTAATTCGTAAATCATCGATAGTTAAACAAAAACCATCAACACCATCTATATTAACTAATGAAAAATTTAGTGAGGGTGTATCAAGTATTTATGGAACAGCTCCATCAATCAAATCAAATTCATCATCAATATATCGTCATAAAAGAAAGCCATCGATTAGTACTACTACTACTACTGTTGCCTTAAATCCAACTTATATATCAGCATTCCGATATATGAAAAGCAGTATTAATCCAAATTTTCTTCAAAAATATCATGATGCATATTAATTACAATTTAAGCAAAAAAAAAATTAGATACAAAAAAAAACAGCAGACAATTCATATAACTTTATTTAACATGTGTTGTTGTTTATACAGAGTTTTTGTTTTAAACAAATAAACAGATAAGACATGACTTGTTTTTTTTTCTGCTTTTGTTACTACATTCATTGGAGAATGAAAATAAAATAATGAATAACATTGTATGTTTATATCTTTTAAGAAAGTATTAGAAAATATAAGAACGAAATTTACATTAATGACTTAATGACGAAATCCGTGGAACTCAAGCAACTCAAACGACTAAAGGAATTCTAAGAATTCAAGAACTTGATAACAGATTAACCCTAGCATTTCAAACGAAATTTATATCATCACGCTTTGCTTATCCACAAATTGAAGAAGTGTTTTACATCTAGAAATTCGGGATACCGGAAATACTACGAGAAATGACAAATATACGGTACAATCTTTTCTGTGGATACTCAAATATGGCGAGGGTGGCTGTAGGTGTAGAGAGAACTGAAATCAAAAATTACCACACATTTCCTCCGTCACTTACACCCATTCAAGAATTTCTTCAGTTCAATGGATTTCAAGAGTTCTAGGAAGTTAAGAAATCACAAAATCAGGCTACTGTTGCACGAGAAAGTGTATTCGACAAGTTAAAAGCTATGAGTTTATGCTCTTTTCAAATATGGGATTAGAAATTTTGTCTGAGTTTTTGTTCGAGTGTAGTGATATAATCTATGAAAAATCCAAAAAATTAGTTTGAACGAAAAATTTTGTATTTTCCTATTGCGATTCGAAATTAAGAACCGAGACTTTTATTTATATATCAGCTTGTAGATCAGAAGCTACGATACAAAATGCAGCTTTTGAAGTTTTTTCAATCCTTCGATAAGACGACATCTCAATTTTCATTGTTCCTAAATACTCATTTTTGAAAAATCGACAACTGTTGTACGTTGTAACAAACTCTTGAAAAAATGTTTCTAGCCTCACTTGAGTAAAAGCTACAGCTTAATTCAATATCACATTTTGTAGAGAAATATGTTCGCTCTACAAAACGACCGACTCTGATAATTTTTAGCATGTTCGAAAAGGAATCTATATAAGGTAAACAAAAACCTGTTTTCTCACTATTAAAAATAATTTTTCAAGTCTTTCGAAAAGTCTTGAACAAAAATAGATACAACATTTCTAAGCTCATATTCAAATTCTGATCACAAGATATACTGAAATATTTTCAAGCAGATCAAAATGAACAACTATCTTCACTGGAAACTTCGATCCACAAATTCGGATCTAAACTATTTTTTTGGACTTTTCAAAGGTCATTTCACTACTCTTGAATAAAATTTCTAAGTTCATATTCGAAAATACCGTAGACTCATAGCTTTTGACTGGTCGGAAATACTTTCTAGCACGTCAAAAATGAAAAAGCATTTACTTTATGTTATTTGAAATTCTTCTGATATTGATAAATCAAATGAAATTTTTCTAGGTGTTATTTCATGAGGAACTTTATCTGAGATTGTATAAATACTATTTCTCGTTATATTTGATTCCGATGATGACACGCTATAACGCGAAATCGATTCTGTTCGAGGTTGTTCTTGTAATAAATAATTTGTTCTTGAAAAAGAATGTTTATTCTTTTGTCGAACTGATTTTCTTCTTTTAGAATTTTGTTTTCGTGTTGAAATACGATGTCGACGTGTTAAATCACGTGCCCATTGACGCAGTTCTGATACTTGAGATTGATCCACATGACGCTGAAATAAGAGTTTTGCAAGACGGTCACGATGTGGTTTAAAAGATAATGTTGAAAAAAGACTTGATGAACGTGATCGCGATTTATCATTATTCTGATTGTTTCTTCTACGTTTTTCTTTTCCCCATTGAACAACAAGACCGAGAATAAAAAATATTACTATAGCACAAGCTAATACAATAAGTAATGGTTCTGGATTTGGTTTTAATGATCCCAACGCTGCTTTACCTATACGAATAGGTATACAAGCATCACGTGGTTGATAAATATATGTTGTAAAATTCATTTGAAATTCAACACATACTTCATATTGACCAGAATCAAGATTAGACATACGTAAACTATTATTTCGATCAATAAGTTTTGTAAAATTAGTTAATGTGGAAACAATAAAATTCGATAATAATATATTATCAATTGAATATAAAATAAAACGATATGAATCAAATAGATCATGTAGAGATCTTTCAATAGTAAACCAAACAAGAATCGAATGATTTTGTATATGATTTAAATAACATATTTGTAATTGATTAGTAATATTCGTTCGAATATCATCATAAATACAAACTTCTTGATTATCTTTCATTCAATATATTTGAATTATTCGACCTTTGAATTTGTAAGAGTAAAGATGAAAAGCAAATCAAATAATAAATAACGAATTTATCATAAATACCTTTGAATTTTTATCAAGTGAAAGAAACGGATATATTTATACATAAAAAAGAACGAAAGGTTGACAAGTCTAAGGAAGTAAAAGTATTACGAATTATCTTTCTTTTTTTGTTGATATTTGAATTATGAGTCATTAGATTCAAATACGAAGAAAAAAAGGTGGTCGACTATTTTAATCTAAAAAGGAACTTTTTGAAATGTCATATCGTGAAAATAGATGTGTTCTTTGTCCTTGAAATGATTATGTCACAAAGCACAAAAAAAAAGAAATCTATTGCTTAAATACACTGATTTATATTGTGCAAATAATCATTTTATTGAATAGAGATATGTTGAATAATTCTAGCCTGCTCGGAAGAAGGAAGAGACTTAGAAAATTTTTCTCAGTAAAGAGACATGGTACGAAAAAAGCTTACTCTGCAACATCTCTATTGTTGAGCACAAAAAAATGAATTTTTTTTATTAGGATTTAAATAATTCAAATAAGAGTGATACATAGTGATGAACATAAGTTTAGAGAAACTATATTTTTTTAGTTTTCTTCTCGATGGTAATAGCTAGGAACAATCTAAAAAAAAACATTTCAGTAGCTAAAAAGATTCTCTATCAGGATTAGTGGACTTAACCCTTTGGGGACGGGCGTGGTATATATACCA